CTGTTTCTCCATTTCGTTCTCATAATCTAGTTTGGTTTATTATTAGCTCATTGTTGTTGTGAATGGAATCCTTTTTCCTACTGTTCTTCTAGTTGGTTATTGATTATACATAGAAAAGTTACTGATTTCTATATGCATCTTTGTATCCAGAAATCTTGCTGAACTCTTATTAACTCTTTGGAATTAGGCATTTTCTACATATGCTTGCAAATAATTAGTTTTACCAAAATTTCTCCAACACTTTTCATCCTTTTCCTTTATCATGCCTTATTGCATGCATGGTCTTTTACAAAATATTCAGTATTTGTGTTGGAAATAATGATCCCTTTCTTATTCCTCACTTACATGGGAACGCCTCTAATGTTTCTTCATTAAGTTTGGTGATTGCGATAGGTTTCTGAGAGATATCCTTTATTGAATTAAAGAAGTTTCCTTTTATTTCTTGTTTACTTCTTAAGGCTTTGTTCCTTTTTTTTTAATTTTTAATTTTTATTTTTAAATATTTTTATTTATTTCTAGGAGAGAGAGAGAGAGACAGTGCGAGCAGGGGAGGGTCAGAGAGAGAGGGAGTCACAGACTCAGAAACAGGCTCCAGGCTCTGAGCTGGCAGTCAGCACAGAGCCCGACGCGGGGCTCGAACCCACGAACCGCGAGATCATGACCCAAGCGAAAGTCGGCCGCTCAACCGACTAAGCCACCCAGGCGCCCCAAGGCTTTGTTCCTTTTAAAAGGAGTACGTTTTAAGTCTCATCCCATGCACCTTTGAGGGCATGTCTCGAAATTATTGTTTCTTGACTCTTTTAACGCAGAGAACGAAATTAGTAACTTTTGCTAATACTCAACCAATCTTATGTCTCTGGGTTAAGCCCTATTTAATCATAATATATTTTTAGTACATTGCTAAATCGACTTGCTAATAGTTTTTTTTTTTTTTTAATGCTTATGTTTTGAGAGAGAGAGCAGTGGAGGCTCAGAGAGAGAAGGAGACACAGAATCTGAAATAGGCTCCAGTGTCCAAGGTGTCAGCACAGAGCCTGATGCAGGGCTCAAACCCATGAGCCATGAGATCATGACCTGAGCCGAAGTTGGATGCTTAACCAAGCCACCCAGGCGCCCCGCTCATATTTTCTTTATGGAAGTTGTATCTGTGTTCAGGAAGATTGGCTTAGGATTTTTTCTGTTTTTATTATTCTTAGTTGTTTTGGCATCAGGGTTATACTAGCTTCGTATAGTGAAATGGAATGCTTTCTAACTTTGCTTGGAGGAGTTTATATGTTGAAGGTTTGACAGGATACACTCATTCCAAAGGGGACTTCTGTCTCTTTTAAGGGTCGATTTTTACTTAATGTCTTTTAATTTTCTCCACTGTTTGTTTAGCTTTTCTACTATTTGAATCAGTTTCAGTAATTTGTATATTCCTTAAAAGTATTCATTTCTTTTTTTTTTTTAATAACTTTTTTTAAACTTATTTTTGAGAGTCAGAGAGAGACAGCGTGAGCAGGGGAGGGTCAGAGAGAGAGGGAGACACAGAATCTGAAGCAGGCTCCAGGCTCTGAGCTGGCAGTCAGCACAGAGCCCGACGCGGGGCTTGAACCCAGGAACCGTGAGATCATGACCTGAGCCAAAGTCGGACGCTTAACCGACTGAGCCTCCCAGGCGCCCCAGAAGTATTCATTTCAACTACATTTTAAGTTTTATTGATATATGTCAAGTTTTGCTTATAGTTTAAAAATCTCATGTCTAGTTTAGTTCCCTTTTTCGTTCCTCATGGTATTTACGAATGTCTTTGTTTTCTATCTTATACTAAAGGTTTGACTGTTTTGTTTTTTGAAATAACAGGCTTTTAGCAATCAGTTCTACTGAGTTTTTATTGTTATTTTAACAACACCAGAATTTTATTGATTTGTGTATGTACGTGTGTGTGTGTGTGTGTATAGTTTAAAACTCTTTAAATTGAATGCTTAGTTCATTTACATTTAACCTGTGGTTTTTTTCCCCAGTAATAAATGCATTTGTAGCTATAAAAACTCTTCTGTGAATTGTTGGCTCTATTCTATGCATTTTGATACGCAGTATTCTCACATTGTCGTTAATTTCTAAATAGACTAAAATTTATATTGTGATTTACTCTTTAACCTAAGACTATTTAGACAGGCATGCATTTTGGACTGTGGTTCCCTCCATCAATTACATCTCATTTACTTCTTATCTTTCAAGCAATTCCTCCTCCCTTCAGAACACCGACTGATCCCATCTTGTTTTCTGGTGCCGATTTGGACTCGTGTGGATAGGTCTCTTCCTGTCGTGTGTAGGAATCACGAGCAGAAGGGGAAAACGGGGTCGTGTATACAGTGTACCAGTAACATGATTTCATATCCCCCAGTTTTTTCTTTTTTCTCCTCCTCCCCCTTCCCTCTTCTTCCTCCCCCTCCTCCCCCTTCCCTCCTCCTTCTCCCCTCTTCCCTCCTCCCCCTTCCCCTCCTCCCCTCTTCCCTCCTCCTGCTCCTCCTAAATTGAGAGGTTCTGGGCCATGTTTGTATCTAATGAAAATGATCCAGAGTTGGGGAAAAAAAAAAAGAGTTGACACTGTCAGAGAAGAGCTACCCTAAAATGGAAGTCCTTGAAAAGGAGACAGATCATACAACGGTGAGCCGGGTGGAGGAGAGGCCAGACAGAAGGACGGGTGACAGGTTTAGATGCACCCTAGTCGTCTCTTCCCAAGTCAGATACCCTCAGCTTTAACAGTTGTTTTTCATGACGTCTTCCTGGATTTCTCGTCTGTTACTTGGTCCTTCCTAAAAAGAAAAAGGTTACTATAAAAAGTAGAATGTTCATGAACTTCACACAGTTCAGAATAACAGGACCGTAACTTCCTTGGTGTAAACACTGGGCTTTTTGGGGGTGAGCCGTTGTAAATTAGGGCTCCTTTAACTGGTACTCGCATAGAGAACAGACCCCGAAACACCGTCAACACGACTCAGTTCGTTCTCCACGTCCTGGTCCCTGGAGTGACCTCAAGTCTACTGTGCCGGCCCTCGGTCAGCCTTCTGCCGTCCGCCAGCAGGTTTACTGCAGCAGCATTCCCTCCACCGGCAGTGGCAATGTTGCTCTTTCTTGGGTCTATAGTCCTTCCTCTCTGTGGCCCTCAGCCTTCTCTAGAGCACATGACATGAGTCCTGTCTAAGAAACGGAAGTCCAGACTTATCATGCCGGGCAAGATCTTTTACTAGCCCATCCCCACCTACCTAGAACCCATAATGTCCTAGACTCAAATGGCCTGTGGAGTCCAATTGACCACAGGCTAAATAGAAGGATGTAGTTCTGTTAATTCAATAAGAATACCTTTACCTAAGGTTCTAATTTTATGGTACTGCTTTTCCTTATGTTCTTAGACCACCACTTTCTCCTTGTGTGCCACTTCCTCCTTTATCATCACTTCCTACAAATTAACCAAAGATTAATTAGGGCATTTAGCTCCTAAGTCACCTGTCTTTCTAACCTTGTCTCCTGCCCCCATGCTAGTCTTGAAATTCATCATCCCCCTAAATAAGATATGCCCTGTATTACCATACCTTGTGCTCATGTTCTATCCATTGCCTGGGACCCATTTCCACCTATCTAACTCCTGCTTCCTTTAAGTAGTTAGTCCTGGAAGAGTCCGAGATAATCTGCAATACCTAGTGATCTACCCCTGGATGGTGCGGTGAGAATATAATTTGAAAAAGTAGGTTCAATATAATTATTTTATTAAAAGCAATGTTTTCCAAATATATATTAAGTAAAACTCCACCTAATTATCACTGCTGCAGATGTTTAAGTTGCAGTAATTCTGAAAGGGTCAGGACTTTTCTCTGTTCCTTAAAGAAGCTGAGCTCCGTTCTAACTCAGGAATTACCAGTGCACCTTTCTCTCTGCCTGGAAGATTCGCTCCCTAACCCAACCTCTTAACCTCCTACCTCTGCATCCATCCAGGTGCTAGATTAAATGTTTCTTCAGGAATTCATGTGTAACGGTTCCCTTCCATACTCTTATAGCTGCTTATAGTACGTTTTAACAGACTTTACTACAACTTAATTATGCGATCATATGAGTGTTGCGTTGACCGTTAAGCCTCCTGTCCACTAGACTAAGCTCTGAGTAAATAAGGGTTGTGGCTGTCTTGTTCACTGTCATGGTGCGTGGCGCGTAAGTGAACTTCAGTTGCCCAAAGGGTCAAAACGCTCAACAGAAGTTAAAAAACGCTGCCCTAAAACGGAAAGCCCATATATAACAGATGAGGCAACCAGGGCCCAGAGGAGCGAAGAGTTTCGCTGAAGGTCTGAGCCAATTCGAATGCACTAGACTGCCTGGCTCGAAGTGCCATCTGTGGTTCGCTCCCGGCCCGGGGCCTTCGCCCTGTCTTTCTCTTGCCGTGGCCATCAGGGCTTGCCCAGCCCAAGGGCCCCTGAGACTTCCTGACCCCGCCCTCCTAGGGTCCCCGTTCAGGTTATGTCGGGTTAAAGGTACTCTTCACATCCCCAGCATCGGGGTCACTCCTGGCTCCCCTGGACAGTGTCATTCCGTGCAGGTGACCACCCGCTGCCCGTTGGCCGCGCAGCAGAGGTTTCCAGTGGGATGGATGAGTAGGTGGGGCGGGCGCGCCCCCCTCCGACCCTGCGCCCCAGGCAGGTGGCCTCCGCCGCCCGCGAAGGCGCGAGGTGCGAGGCCGGACTCCGGGAGGTCACGGTGGCGGCCCCGCCTCCCCAGGCACGCGCGGCGCTGATTGGCCGGCCTGGCCCCGGGGAGTGGGGGGGGGGGGCACCGTGCGGAGGGGCTGCCGCCCGCGCGCCCGCCTCGTCTCCGCGGGGGCGCGCCCGCGGCACGCGGCCGGGCGGGGCCGGGGGTGAGTGACGGCCGCGCGGGCCAATGGGGCGGGCGCGCGCCGCCGCCGCCGCCCGCGCGGCCCCTGACGCCGGCCGAGGCGCCGCGCCGCTGCGGCTGCGGGCGGCGACAGCTGCACCATGGGCCGGCTGCTGCGGGCCGCCCGGCTGCCGCCGCTGCTGCCGCCGCTGCTGCTGCTGCTGGCCGGGGGTGAGTGCGCGCCGCGCGGGCGGGCGGCGGCGGGGCCGGGCGGGCGGCGGCGGCGGCGCGCGGTGCTGGACAGCTCCCGGCGGCCAACAAAGGGGCCGGGGCGCGAGGCGCGGGAGCGCGGGGCTCGGCGGGGCTGCCGCGCGGTCCGCGACACGCGCGCGCCCGGGGCGGGGGGGCGTGGGGCCGCCGCGTGTGCCGCGTGTGAGAGCGGTTCCCGGCGCGGGGGCGTGCGTGTGGAAACACACACACACACACACACACACACACGCCGGCGCGCGCAGGGGAGGCGCGAGGAGCGTGGCGGAGGGCGCGCCTGCACGCCCCCGGGGGCTCTGCTGGGGGGGCTCTGGGGAGGGCGGGGGCGCCGGCCAGAGGAGGGCGGGCCCTGGGCGCGGGCTCGGCGACAGCCCCCCGAGACGCGGAGCTGGCGTCCGCGGGCCCGTGAGGACACCACAGCGAGCGTGGGGCGCGGGCGGAAAGTGCCCAGGAGCCGTACACACAGCTGCTGCGACAGTGAGGGTGTGTGTTTACGCGCGTGCGGTGCCGCCGGCCAGGAGCGCGGTGTGTCATGGGCACAGCCTGTCTAGACGGTGCGGGGCAACTTGATTGGGAGCCGACCAAAACAAGAAAGAAAAAGGGTGTGACAGCCACCAGGTCAGCCTGTGACAAGGGCGCTGCTGGAGAGCTCCTGCGCCACGGCCGCGCAGGGGTGCGTGTGAGAGACCTTCCGAGCCGCCGTTTCCAGTCAGCGGTGCACGAGCGCGTTGGGGGGTGTGGGTGCCGGCGGGGGCCGTGGGGGCCGGTGTGAAAGGATGTGCCCGCGACAGCCGGCTGAGCAGCGTCCGCGGGGCAGACACGGATGCAGGTGTGTGCCGGGCGGGCGTGCCCAGGTGTGTGGCGCGGTGGAGCCGGGCCGCCGGCGCGGGGTGAGGGGTGGGGGGGGAGCGGTGCCCGCTGCAAGGGTGGGCACCTTCTCCGCGGGAGACACGGCAGAGGGGGCGCTATGTCGTTGAGTACGTACTAAGGGCCCATTGCTAACCGGGGTTGGTGGAGGGGTGTGCTGGAATGAGTGTGTGTGCACACATGTGTGTGCACGCGCGTGCTCACTTATCGGACAGCCTTGGGCAACTGCGCTTCTGACGGACACATGGGCGTGTGACGGGTGTGCGTGTGTGTGGGAGTTTGCCTGGGACACTGGCTACTTGGTCACCTCCCGTGCAGTTAACCCACAAAGGCCCAGGCCCCGAGACGATCTGTGTGATGAAGGCGAGACTGCAGTGAGATGGGCCCCGGCCCGTAAGTGTCAGAATCCCAGGGGCAAAGACGGGAGAAGGGCGCCTCCCGCTCCTGAGCATGACCGGGGAAGGGTTAGTCAGCGAGGGCACTGTGTCTCCACCGTCAGTCCGGGGACGGGCAGGGACCAAAGGGGTGTGCACAGAAACGTCCATCCGGTCTTGTGTCCGACACCCACTCGCACCGTGTCTGTGTCTGCATAAGACGTAAGATTCAATACATGCGTGAAATACTGACTCGCCTGCCGTTTCTTTGTGCGACAGCCACACCAGAGCTGGCGAGCAGAGTGGGTCAGGATCCGTGCCCAGCTGTGGCTAGCCACGCCTCTTGGCCGGCAGCTTCACCCCTCCCCACCTCCCCCCCACCGTCAGCACTTCACGGTGTCCGGATGTATGTTATCGCCTCCCTTTCAGCGACGGGTGTGTTTAGCAGTGTGTCTCTTTCTTACACACCTTTCCTTGGAAGCCCTTCCAGAACTCTTCAACGTTGCTTCTCAGACACATCCAGACACATATAGGAGTGTGTGTGTGTGCGTGCGCGCGCGTGCATGGTAGGGTGATTGGGCTAGACTATTTCTGTTGTAGCTGACACTCAGGTGTGGGGGCTGTGGGTGCTGGGCACGTGGCCCCGTATTGGTGTCTGGCAAGGGCTTAGGGAGATCTGCGCTTCGAAGCTGCTGATGGGAGACATCAGGAAAGGGTGTTTGGATCAGGAACAGATTGCGAGTGAGATAAAACACAGGGATTACTAAGGCCTTGTTTTTTTCACCCCCCCCCCCCCAAGAAGTAAGCCTGCTTCATTCGCCTCTTTTTCTGAGTTTGGGTCACATTTTCAATCAATCCTTTGAGGCTGGCCCCCGAATCCTTTTCCTGTGCCTCCTTTTATTTTCTCCCTCTTTCTCTGTTGGGAGTGACGAAGTCACAGAACATTTTAGGTGCTGAAAGAAAAAAAAAGCCACAAAGAGTGCAATTCTGAACTTGTAAATCAGCTAGAGTCTCAACTGAAGCAGATTAATTATCAAGCGCAAAGGCAATTATACACAATGCTTAGGTCTCCGCTACATTTTTGGTGGGCAAGTCTGGAAATAAGTAGCCTCCTGCAATTACTTGAATGATCACTCATTGCCAAGGCTTTTGAGAATATCAAGGTCTATATAAAGAAAAAATAATCATCACAGGGGAAAAATGGCTTCAAGAAAACGGAACTGGGTACTGGAGAGGGAGTGAAAGCCCAGATCGCCGTTTTCACACACAGCTTTTCGGCAAGATTATCAAAACCTCTGTTCATTGCTGCTAGACCCAGGTGGGAAAGGAAGAGAAGGCCAGAGGAGGAGGGAAGGGGGAGGAAGACCGTGGCTTCCCCGCCTGACAGGTGGAGGGGAGAGGCTTGGAGAGTGTGGGAACTCGCTTCACCGTCTGCACAGAGAGCTTCACCGAGGAGCCGGTATTTGATCAGCAGAGGTGGGTCGTCAGCGGGACTGCTGGTCAGACCTTCCTTGAGAGGGCGCGTCGTTTTCTCCAGGTCCGAGCCGCTCTGCAGAGCCGGACCAAGGCCTAGCAGGGAGTGACTTGGCTCCCACGGGGCCACAGCTCCGCTCCGAGAGAGGCAGCTCTCAGGCCTCAAAGAGGCAATGCAAATTGCCAGTGGTTTTTTGGAGGCTAAAATTCCGGGAATTCCTAAAGAAAACCAGTTTGCACCTTTCGATGCAGGCTGACCCCGGCATAGCTGCTAGGCGCTGGTCTGTAGATGTTCACCCAATGGCCTTTCACAGATTGGCTGGGATTTACAAAGATTTACAGATCCCTGGGGGTCTGTAAAAATTTTATGTAATGAGTACAAACCTTTCTCATCAATTGGCATTTTTTTCCTTCGTGGACTGCGTGAGGTTTTCCAGGTTAAGCCCGTCTTGGGGGGGGTCCCACCTCCGCCAGTTGGGGCCGTCGTGCCTGCCGGCGTCGTATAGAAAACTTAGACTACGCTTTCCACACACGGTGGTCATTTTCGAGAGCAGAAACCAGCCCATTAGAGCTCTTCTGTTAACTAGCTCTTTGACCTTGACGTCACGAGGCCCCACTCCCTGGAATGACTGAGTGGAATCAGACACAGGACACACCGCGCGAGGGAGGGAGGCTGTCAGAGGGCCTGTTTCGCTTTGGTGAGGAAAGTTCAGGAATCGGTGCGGAAGGCGGGGGTACGAGGCGGGTGCCTGGCCTAGACCGCGAGCTTCCGGGGAGCACTTCTCAGGCAGAGGCCGGAAGCGGGAGTGGGGGGGGGCACAGGTGGCTTCTGTGCCCCCCAGTTCCCGGCTTCTGGAGGCTCAGATGCCTCCCCGTGTTGCCACGCATCTGTCCTGGTTTTTCCCATGGAGTCACCTAGACTCACTCTGGCCCTTGTTATTCACATCGACCTTTTGTTTTAATATATTTGAAGATACTGGCCGTTGCCTGCCTTGAATACCCTCTGTTCCTGGCCACGAACGCCCCAGTCCGTAGGAGAATACACTTACCGCGCAAGACGCAGCCTGCTCACTGTAGCTCGGTCTGTCGGGATCTGACCTCGTTTGCGGTCCCTGCCCTCCCCCCCCCCCCGAGAGCTGTAATTAGCTGGCTTCTGCCCCTCAAATGTTTGTCCCCGCGTCACAGATGAGGAAGCCGAGGCCCCCGGGGGAGACATAGCTAACCCAGAGCGGCTTGGGGGAGCCAGGCACAACCCTGCTTTCCCGGCGCATGACATCCTTCCGGGTTCCACTTCAGGACCTGTTGATCCTCTCCCGCGTGCCTCGTCACCGCGTCACCTGTTCACCCGGAGGGCTTTCCCTCCCACTGCGTGTGGCATTCACGGTCCCGTGCTGTCTGGTCGTGCCCACCATGCCGTCTCCACCCCACCCTGGATGCCAGGCTTGGGGCTTCCCACTCCTTCATAAGGTGGCTGTGCAGAGTCAAGTTCAGGTAACGCTTGCAAAGCGTTTAGCACACAGCACCAAGAGCTTTAGCTCTCAAGTGCATTGTGGAAACTTCCCGTGAGCCGCTCAAGCCAGGGCACGGTGCGCAACAGGGGTGGCAGGACATGTCTCTTCGCTGCATCGCTGAATGCTCGTCTGGGAGCAGAGAACGTGGAGGCCATTTCACCCCCCTTCCTTAAGTTTTGGACGAGGAGACAGGTTTGAAGCCACTTTCCAGAAGACATATAGCCAGCTAGTAATCTTTGTGTGATTAAGTTGTGGAACTGGCAGATAGTGCTGCCTTCCTGTTCTAAGTGAGTGCGAGGGAGAGGGGAGGAGAAAAGACGCCCATCAGTACATCGGGTTTTGTTCATTCGTTTGTTTTATAGATGAGGAAAGAGGGATTCTCCAAGATCCTAAACAAACGTGTTATTACCAACACTGAGTGAGTTTGAACTGTGATCTCACGTGGTTTTTAAAGACTGTTCAGAAGGTCGTATTGATGAAATACAATCCCGTTCTTTTTTTTTTATTTTTTTTAAACATTTATCCATCTTTGAGACACAGAGACACAGCATAAGTGGGGGAGGGGCAGAGAGAGAGGGAGACACAGAATCTGAAGGAGGCTCCAGGCTCTGAGCTGTCAGCACAGAGCCCGACGTGGAGCTCAAACTCACAGACCGTGAGATCATGACCTGAGCTGAAGTCGGATGTCCAACCAACTGAGCTGCCCAGGTGCCCCACAAATCCCGTTTTTAATGCAGTTTGGGAAAACGTTCGGCCTCAGACAGAAGCCCGGGGAACAGTGTGCCCGCAAAGTACTTACAGGCAGGGACCCATCCTTTGCTGCATCAGTGCCCTGAGCACCCAGCACACTGTGACAAAGATGGGTGCCAGTAGCGGTTCCTGACCAAACAACGTGCAATGGGTGCCAAGCCTGGTGAAGCTCGCCCTCTCCCGCCCGCCTCCCCGGGTCTCCCTGTTGCCCCTTCACAGGGAGGGCTCAGCGGTTTGGCCTTTGTGCAGTGAGCAGCAGCCCCGGGTGTCAGGAGTGACCCCCCTCCCCTGCCCCTGGGTTCTTTGCTGTTGGAGGCGGGTCTGAACCTCATGCCAGCCTGGCCTTTCCGGCCTCTCACAGCCTCTGGCTTCCGTGTCTGTGCAGGAACGTCCCTGGGCACGTGTGCAGCTGGGGCCGATGAGCCCGGCCCCGAGGGCCTCACCTCCACCTCCTTGCTGGACCTCCTGCCGCCCTCGGGCCTGGAGCCGCTGGACCCGGAGGAGCCCAGCGAGGCCGTGGGCCTGGGAGCCGGCCCGGGAGCCCCTGGCTCGGGCTTCCCCAGCGAGGAGAGCGAGGAGTCCCGCATCCTGCAGCCGCCCCAGTACTTCTGGGAAGAGGAGGAGGAGCTGAACGACTCCAGTCTGGACCTGGGACCCACCGCAGGTAGGCCGTCCCCCCTCGCAGCCGGCTCCGAGGCCGTCCAGGTAGATCACATGGCCCGTCCCTCGCCGCCGGTGTTCACCGCGCTGCTGCCCTCCTGTCCGCCAGGGCCGGGCCTCTGGGGCTCCGAATGTTCGACTGACCAGGACGCTCTTTTCTCTTTCGCCTTTGCTGCTGTTTAGGGAGCCCGTGCCCTGTGTCCACAGAACTCTAGAACGCTCTCAGCCCGTGAGCGAAACGTTCTCCCCGCTGAGACGGAGGCCTGTGGCTCAGAGGAGCTACAAGCCTGCCCGGGGTCGGGCACCTGTGTTCACAGGCTCAGTCAGGATCCGAGCCTCGGTCTTCCCGGGGTCCAGGGTGCTGCTGGCTGCCCGGCTCTGCCATGTCGTCTGTGTCGGAGGCGCCAGAGCCCTCCTGAGGTCTCCCGGACCCCTGATCAAGGCGCTGTCGTTGCCCTTCTCTCAGTCATGCACCGGGGCCGTGTCTGGGGTTTATGGAGCGAGGCTGGTGTCTATGCGGGGTCCACGGTGAGCCCGAGGCCGGGAGGGGTGTGGCGAGGGGTGCAGCAAGGGGCTGGGCACAGGTGTGGCGGCCTGGGGCCCTTGTGACTGCGGCTTTGGCAGCCGTGCACACTCTTTCTTTTCCTTAAGTTTATTTATTTTGAGAGAGAGAGAATGAGCGGCGGACGGGCACAGAGAAGGGAAAGAGAGCATCCCTGGCTCCGTGCTGCCGGCGTGGAGCTCGGTGCGGGGCTCGATCCCACAAACGGTGAGATTGTGACCTGAGTGGAAATCCAGAGTCGGAGGTTTAACCCGCTGGGGCACCCCGGCAGAGGCCCGTTTTTAAATGAGGCGTTGGGAGTGCATGTGCGTGGGGGCGAGCTATTACACAGTTTAGGCCTAATCTCTTTTCGAGAGTGTGTAATAATTTCATGTTCGTTCTCTAATTATAAAAATAACACATGGAGATTGTAGAAAGTATGAAACCTGCAAAGAATAAAATAAACTTCAGAGTGCCTGGGGGGCTCAGTCGGTTAAGTGCCCGACTTTAGCTCAGGTCATGATCTCGCAGTTCGTGGGTTCGAGCCTCACATCGGGCTCTATGCTGACAGCTCAGAGCCTGGAGCTGCTTCAGATTCTGTGTTTCCCTCTCTCTCTGACCCTCCCCTGCTCACCCGATTTTTAACGACTGTCTAGTATTTCATCATGCGGGTCATTCTGTATATAAAATCAGGTGTCTACCATTGAGTATTTGGGTCGTTTGCAGTTTTAATGTTGCTAAAACTGTTATTATGTATTTTTGCAGTTTTTTGGATTGTTTCCCTATAATACCTTTCTAGACTAAAATTGCCAGGTGTAAAGATGTATCTTCTGGGCGGGATATATCAGCATCCCAGTGAGAACTGGAAGACACGGTCAAATTGAGCTCATCCAGGGGGGGTTTACTTCTAGAACAAGGAACTTGGAAAGGTGTGGGCAAGGGATAGGCCAGCGACCGAGGAGTTCAGGGCTAGTGACAGCGGAGTACTCAGTGCCCATACACCCCAAGGGAGGGAGGGAGGAAAGGAGACAGGAGCGATAGACCGAGCACAGGATCCTGACAAGAGCGGTGACCCAGCAGGGGTGAAGCGAGGGGAGTAAATAGCCCACCTCCTCTCCTCCCATCTTTTGCCAGGCTCTCTGCTTTCTTTCCTCCCCTGCCTCTGTGGGGGGGTCCGGTCAGGAAGCAGGGACGTGGCCTAGTGATGTAATTCATGGGGTGGAGAAGGGTAGGGAGGGGGGTCTGGAGCGGGTGCAGCGTGTCTGACACAGAGGATGGCAGTCTTCCCACAGGCTTCTGTTAACTCTTGCCACATCGGCCTCCAGAAAGGTCTTTCCAGTTTGCATGCCCACCAGAGGTGGGATGAATGCCAGGTTTTTGGGCCCTTCCCACAACTGCATGTTGTCATTTAGAAATCTTGGTCAATTATTTGTTTTTAAATTTTTTAATGTTTTTATTCATTTTTTGAGAGACCCAGAGAGACTGTGAGTGGGGGAGGGGCAGAGAGAGAAACACACACACAGGATCTGAAGCAGCTACAGGCTCCAAGCTGTCAGCACAGAGCCCGACGTGGGGCTCGAACCCATGAACCATGAGATCATGACCTGAGCAGAAGTCAGACGCTTAATCGACTGAGCCATCCCAGGCACCCCAAAATCTTGGCCAATTTGATAGGCAAATTATAATGGCCTTCAATTGCTAGTAGATTTTAACTTACATGTGTGTATATATATTCCGACCATTTAAAGTCTTGCTCTGGCGTCAGGCAGATTCCGAAGTTCTAGAACCGACACTTAATAGCTGTGTGATGTTTGGCAGGTAGCAACGTAAGTCTCAATTTTCTCATCTAGGAAATGGTATCATAGGGTTGTGGGGTTTAAATGCGGTAATATATCTAACACGCTTAGCGTAGCACTTGGTACACCCTAAGTACTCTGTAAATATTAGCTGTTATTACCTTTAGATTCTTTTCTATTGAAGCTTCAGTTCTTTCTTGCCACTGTACAGATCTTCATATAAAAAGGATGCTAACCTGGGGTGGCTGGGTGGCTCTGTTGGTTGAGTGTCCGACTTCAGCTCAGGTCATGATCTCACTGTTCGTTCGAGAGAGTTGGAGCCCCGTGTTGGGCTCTGTGCTGACAGCTCAGAGCCTGGAGCTGCTTCAGATTCTGTGTCTCCCTCTCTCTCTGTCCCTCCCCTGCTCACACTCTGTCTCTCTTTCTCTCAAAAATAAAAAATAAAAATAAAAAAAGGATGCTAACCTTTGATATATATAGAAAACATTTTTCCAGCTTATCAGTTACTTTTATCTTTATAATAGTGATTTTTGACATAACACATTTTCTATGAACTTGGTCAGTCTTTTTTTTGAAATGTTTTTATGTGTTTTTCTTTGCTTTATGTTTAGAAAATCCTTTCCCTCCCTGACATATATGCACCTTTACTTCCTTTATTCTTTTTCACCTTCGATGTTTATATTGAACTCTTTAAGAACAATTTATTTGGGTATGCGGTGTAAGATGGGGATTTACTTCACTTCCCCTGTAGAGCTAGCTGATTGCCACATACCCACTGGTATGTCTATCCCTCAGCACTGAAAAGAAGTAGTAGGCAATTCGATGGACTTGGGTTTTCCCTGGGATTTCCCCTTGTTTCTTCGAAAAAAAAATTTTTTAACATTTATTCATTTTTGAGAGACAGAGCGCAAGCAGGGGAGGGGCAGAGAGAGAGAAGGAGACACAGAAGCGAAGCAGGCTCCAGGCTCTGAGCTCTCAGCACAGAGCCCAATGCGGGGCTCGAACCCATGAGCTATAAGATCATGACCTGAGCCAAAGTTGGACGCATAACCGACTGAGCCCCCCAGGCGCCCCTCCCCTGTTTAGACTCTTGAGCCTCTAGTCTGAGGCGAGCAGTCAGAACCCAGTGGGGTGGCCCTTCGGCTTCAGTGAACTCACATTTGCTCCGCCTCCCCCTTCCCTCTCTCCTTTTCCTCCTCTCCCTTCGCCTCGCTTCTCCGCTTCTCCCATTAGCCTGTCGAGGCCGCTTCGTAGGGAGCACCCCTCGTTCATTGTGCCGGCTCGGTCGTGTGGTCTGGTCCCTCACCTCTGCTGTTCACTCGCTCGACCGGAAGGTGGGGACTCGGGTGCCCTGGCGGGGAGTAGGCCAGAGCCCCAGACGAGGTGGGGGAAGGAGGGCCGCTTTGGCCAGGCTCTTGCATTGCCACCCTCCCACGGGACCCTTACATCCCCTCGGGTCGGTCTCTTCTCCGCGCACCCCCACGGCACTTTGGGAGAGCACGGTACCCACAGAAGAAAAACCAAGCATCCCAGCACTGCGGAAAATGCCCTTGGCGCTCCGGCCTCGCCTTCCCCTTGGCCTTGTCTCCTTCCCTCCTCCGACCTGCATCACTTAATTAGCCCATTATCATCCCTGCCCGGCAGACGTGGAACCGGTGTGCAGGGAGGTCAAGCGCTTTAACAGGGTCACACTTGGTACGTGTCGGAGCTGGATGGGGAATCGGTCTGTTCCCCGAGCCTGTGGTGCCCTTCCTCCTGTCCTGTCTGCTCGGAGTGCCCTCGGGCATCCCGGCCGCCTGGGGGACTGGGGCCCAGGTCCAGGCTGCACCCTGCTCACTGGGCTGTGGGCCAGATGCAAGGAGCGCCTTTTTCTAAGTCATCTGCCCAGAGGGGCATCGCCGTGAGCCAGCCGTGGCCCTGAGGTTAAGCGGTGGTGCACCTTGACGATACGGTGTTAGGCCACAGCAGAGACAGAGAGCGCCCCCGGTGTGAGGCTCCGTGGGACAGGGAGGCAGACCCAGAGGGGACAGAGCGTACCAGTCCCCTCTGCCGCCTTCTGCTCCTGGCCCTAAGAGACACACGCTTCCATCTGGAGGTTCTCTGGACAGAAGGAGGGCATTGCCTGCCTGGGTGAGGAGTCCGTCCAGAGGTCAGAGGTACCATGCTAAGTACCATCCTGACACAGCCCTTGGGGACGTGAATTTGTCCCTGCAGAGGCGACAGTGGAATGCCATGCCGTGGCCCGGTCCGGTCACAGATCCGGTAGCCTTCTAGCTTTGATGATACCGACCGAATGTGAGCACTGGGGACGTGTCAGGCACCGCGCTAGGTGTTTCAGTATAATATCTCTTTTAATCTTCACGGAAGCAAGTGTCTGTGGTTACTCCTGTTGCACCAGGGCATAAACTGAGGCTGCCGGGGTTGGGAGAACAGCCCCGGGCGCTAAGGACTCAGACCTGAGTTCTCAGACTCCATAGCCGTGGCTCTTTCTCTTAGGTTGTGAGGTTGCCTCTCAGCTCAGCGATTTTACTCAAGGCGAGCAGTAATGTCGTGTACTTGACCATTGGTACATGATCACCATTCTATTCATAGAATCTTCCCTTTGGTTAGCTCCTGGGAACTTCACGACCACTCTGAGGTCGCAGGCGGCAGTCGTCGTCACTGCCT